GAGTGCTCTGTGTTATTCCACTGCATTTGCCTTTAGTCCTAATAGCCCTGTGAGAAAGGTACATTACAATCTCCATTTTACAGAAGGATTTGAAGACATGATCAAACCAAGACACGGGATAAAGACAAGGTCTTCACCTTGGCCTTTAAGCAGCTGTCTACTTCTTTAACCTCATTTATTCCCATTCATGACTTCACATTTTTATTGTTGTGGTGACATCAAATTGTTTCAAGTTCCATTCACAACGTGTTCTCTTATGCTCTGTGTCTTTGCTTGGCTAGCTCCCATTGCCTAAAACATCTTTTCTTTAAAAACAAACAAAAACAACAACTATTTTTATTGATTTCAGAGAGGAAGGGAGAGGGGAAGAGAGAGATAGAACATCAATGATGAGAGAGAATCATTGGTCGACTGCCTACTGCACACCCCACCCGGGGGATGGAGCCTGTAACCCAGGCATGTGCCCTGACCAGAATTGAATCATAACCTCTTGGTTCATAGGTTGACACTCAACCACTGAGCCATGCTGACTGGGCTAAAACACTTCTTTTTATTCCTCCACATTTTGAGCCACTTCTTCCAGAGTCTTTCCTGACCTTTCTCTTGAGGATAAAATATCCCTCCCCAAATACATCTATCTTGGCTCCTCACCATATACTGTAGTAACTTATTTGTTCATCTGTGGCTGTCACCAGCCAGCCATGCTCCTCTAGACCAGGGGGCTATACTGTTGTGTGCACCACAGTCCCAAAACAAGGTACTTTTAAGTGAATTGTCCCACTTTGTGGTAGGTTCTTTTCATCTGTTCTCTTTATATTCCATCAGTGGTCCAGTGAGATAGGTAACATTAGCCTCATTTTATGGAAAAGGGAATTTTGGTGATAGGAGTGGCCCTCATTATCTAACTGCTGGGTTCTAACCACCCCTGTTTTACTCCAAACTCATGCTTTTCACACTATACTTTGTTACCTTCTTTATATTTCAAGGTGTAACTCAAGACAGTTTTCAAGCTGAGGAACATAAAGACTTTACAAGAAATACATGAGCCCAGAAATTGATGCCCAGTGAATTGATATCAAGATCTTCACTTTCCAGGATACCTCAAGAAATTAAATAATTACCATATGACCACCAATTCTACTTCTGAGTATATATATCCTAAAGAATTGAATGAACAGCCAGGACCGGTTTGGCTCAATGGATAGAGCATCGGCTTGGGGGCTGAAAGGTCCCAGGTTCGATTCCGGTCAAGGGCATGTACCTTAGTTGCGGGCATATCCCCAGTGGGGGTGTGCAAGAGGCAGCTGATTGATGACTCTCTCTCATCGATGTTTCTAACTCTCTATCTCTCCCTTCCTCTCTGTACAAAATCAATAAAATATATTAAAAAAAAAAAAAGAATTGAATGAACAAACTCAAGTAGACATTTGCACAACCATGTTTATAGAAGCATTTTCCCCCACAAAAGCCAAGGTGGAAGCAACTCAAATGTGTGTAATGGATGAATGGATAAACAATGTGCTGTATAAATACAGTGAAATGTTACTGGTCAGTTCTGAGAGGATGCAGTTCCAATTTAGAGCACAAGGGGGAGTATGAGACTAAACCTTTGCAAAAGGTTTAGAGGGGGTGGGGGTGTGAGCGTGACTTATTCCCTTAGCTAGCCCTATTTGAAAGCGAAATAGACAAGTAGACTTCTTGTAACCTCCTGGACCCCCAGAGCTGTCTTCTTTTCCCTTTTTCATAAGGAATGGTACCACCCCAGTCAGAGTGCTCTCCTAGGTGCCTCAATTTCTTTTCTCCCCAATGTAGAGCTAATCAGCCACTGAATCTTGTCATTTTCATTCTTTAATGCCCCACTACACTTCCCAGCTCCGGTCTCATGATTTCTTTTGTTGTTAATCCTCACTGGAGGATATTTTTCCATTGCTTTTTTAGGGAGAGTGGAAAAGAGAGGGAAAGACAGAGAGAAACACATCGATTGGTGGCCTCCCGCACAAGCCCCGACCAGGGCCTGGGTCAGGAGGAACCTGCAACCAAGATCCTGCAACCAAGGTACATACCCTTGACCAGAATCAAACCCAGGACCCTTTGGTCCGCAGGCCAATGCTCTATCTACTGAGCCAGACTAGCTAGGGCTCATGATCTCTTGAAGTCACTGGATCATCCTTCTCTTTGGTCTCCCTGACCCCTGTATATTGGAAACTCCAGCCCATCTCCCATTGTGAAGGCTCTCTTCATTACCTTTCCTTCCCACTTTGCTGAGTGAATTCCAAATTGTCCTTCCCCCCCACCCCTCAGAGCAATTTAGTGTCCCTTCCTTCTCTTCCCACACTTACAAATTCACATTCCTCAAGGCCCTAAGTAGGACAAAGAACCTTCTGTGCGTTAGGGTCTATCCTTAGAAGGGAGTTGTGGTTCGAAATAGCACCTTTTTCTGATGTAATAATGAGAGTGTTTCCGGTTTACTGAGTGCTTACTATGTTCCTGGCACTTTGTCAAGTGCTTGCCAGTCGCTGTCTCATTTTCTTACTTGATCTTCACTGTGAATGATCCTGGGAGCTAGCTAGCTCTTACTGTTGCTACTCATATTTCTACAAATGAGAATGAGGTTCCTGTGTCAGAAAAAGTAGGCAATTTACATAAGATCACACAGCAAGCAAGTGGTGGAACCAAATCTGTCTGGTTGCAAGTCTGTGCTCTCTCCATTTCACTAGATGGCCTTTCAGAGGAAAGAGAAGGAGAAAGTAATTAGAAGACCCGAGGCTACACGAACGCCACACCATCTGTTCTCATATTGTTTTGCAACTGCAAAAGGATGGTTTTATATGTTGGCTCATTATGCCTGTGAAGAATGAATAATCATTATCATCACACCCATTCTGAAATGAGGAAACTAGGGTTCTGTGGGAGAAAGGGAGTGAGGGAGCAGGCAGCATAGGATATTTGATTTTTAAGAACACAGAGACACTGTAGTTCTGGGTGATTACAGAGATCAGAGTGTGACCCTGGGAGCCAGTGGCCAAGGTGATGTGAAGAGGAGACCAAGGACTGAGGGATCAGGAAGCCACATGGCTACTGAAGTCAGCAGGAGGATGGGCAGGACAGGGGCTACTGAGGATGACCAGGAGCCAGGGGCTGAAATCATCAACGCATAAGAAGCCATTGTGGCCGAAACCAGTTTGGCTCAGTGGATAGAGCTTCGGTCTGCGGACTGAAGGGTCCCAGGTTCGATTCCGGTCAAGGGCATGTACGTTGGTTGCGGGCACATCCCTGGTGGGAGATGTGCAAGAGGCAGCTGGTCGATGTTTCTCTCTCATCGATGTTTCTAGCTTTCTATCCCTCTCCCTTCCTCTCTGTAAAAAATCAATAAAATATATATATAAAAAATAATAGATTTTTTTTTAAAGAAGCCATTGCGGGGGAGGGTCAGGGATGAGGAAGGGTAGAAGGTGGTATGGCTGGAGAGCAAAGGAGAAGGAACTTTTGTACAAGCATGGAAGTGGCAGTGCTGGCCCTGCCCCCTGGTCCTATGATGTGCGGGGAGTGGAAAGGTGAGAAGCCTTCTTGCAGAGGGCTACAAAAGGAGTCCTGGAGGAGGGTCAAACTTCAATAAAGGCAAAAAACTAATCTGACTACTCTCTGAGGAAGCAGAGGGTGTAGGAGAATTTGTTTTCAAAGGGACAGGATTCTAGAGGGCACAGTAGAAAGGGCTGCCAGGAGATGGACAGTGGGAAGGTGAGTTGAAGTCGCGGGGAGAAGCTCAGAACAGTATAACAATGAGTCTGACAGAGAAGTCGATCAGAGGGGCTTTCAATTGGGTGGTTCCCCACATTGGAGAGACAAATTGTAGATAGGGTCATAAGGAAACCTGAGGGGGAAATGGTTCTGGTATCTGACTCAGACCTCTAAGATTTGAGATGGGGAAGAGTGTGGGGAAGGACAGTGATTCTAAACCAAAGCTGGCAGCTCGCTTCCGTGACTTCAGGAAGACTTGAAGCCCAGGTCAGGGTGGGTGGATACGGAGCCAATTACCTCATATACTCGCCTTCTCTAGTGGAGTTGGGACTTTCTGATGACCAGGCAAGAACATCTTTCTCACTCTAGGCTGCTGCTGGTAATGGGGAGCCCCTGGACATTTTGTTATTGTTTTTGTGTGTGTGTGTTTTGCTGAACAAGGTTGATGGCAATATGGCGACCTTCAGAATGGTCATTCAGACTGCTGGTGTAGAGGATGGACTGCAGAGTGGAAGCAGGGAAACCCATTAAGAAGCTGTTGCACTAGTGCAGGCAAGAAGCTAGGAGGCCTGAAAGAGAGAGAGAGAGAGAGAGAGAGAGAGAGAGAGAGAGAGAGAGAGAGAGAGCGCGCGCGCAGTGGAGAGGAGAGGAGAGACAGGGAAGGGATAGGTAGATACCTTAAGAAGGTATTATTACCAGATTGATGGGATGAAGGGTATCGAGTAGGGGACAATGCCAAGATATCTAGCTTAGTTTCCTCTTGCAGTTAGCACTTCAGATTCTGTGTCTCTCCCTAGGCTTTTGTGAGGAGGAAGTGATGTGATGGACAGAAAAGTGCTTTGGAAATGGCAAATCTCGGTATCCATTGTCATCTACTTTATCACCAAAGCTCTCTGATCACCTAGGAAGTTCAGTCTGTGGAGCGAGGCGTGAGGGTTAAGATAAATCAATCACATCAGCCCTGGCCTGGTCTCTCAGCTGGTTAGAGCATCTCCCTACATGCCAAGGTTGTGTGTGGGTCCCTGCACATACAACAAGCAACCAATGAGTGCATCAATAAGTGGAACAACAAATCGGTGTTTCTCTCATCCTCCCTCTCCCCCTCTCTAATCAATAAATCAAAAAGCATTACAAAAGATAAATAGCGATAGTCACTCTGATATTAGGGAGCTCAGGGCCCCCAGGATACAGGGACACCTGTGGGCAACAGGGACGGGCGGGGCTAACACGAACCCCGCCCCTGGGCGGGGCAGGGGTGGGGCCTGGACGGGGCCGTCGCTGCAGCCGGAGCCTCAGCCCCAAGTCCGGGTGGTGGGGACCTGACCAGACCCGCTCGGACCTGCAGCGCCTGCTCCGCGAACACGCCGCAACCCCTGCTCCCTGCTGCCGGCTGGGCCGTCCCGCTGAGCTTTTGGGGGGCAAACCGCTCTCCCGCACCCGGAGTCCCAGGTAAGGGGCGCGGCCCCGGCGCCCCGCCCGGGAGGACCAGGGACCGCTCCGCGGCGTGGGGCGCTGAGAAGCCAGCCCCGGGCCCCGGAGGGGACCCCGAGGAGGAGGGGACCCCGAGGAGGAGGGGGTGGGGAGGCCCTGAGAAAGGGGCACCGCCGCAGGGAAGGGGCGCGTAGCCTGAGGAGGGGGCGCCGAAAGGGGGTCTACCTGCGCCGACCGTGAGGGCCGCAAGGGGAGCCCCGATGGCTGCGTAGGTGGGGGTGCAGCGGGAGTGCAGGGGCAAGAAACGGGGTGCAGGGGCTGGGGGAAATGGTGAGCGGCCGCTGGAGCGCAGGGAGGGGGAAACGGAGGGCGGTGGGGGCGGGGAGATGGGAGGAGAGAGAGCTGGGGGTTGGGGGGCAGTGTGATCAGAGGGTACCAGGCAGCAGAGGGGCGGCGAAGGGGGTCCTGAAGCCGGAGGATCGAGAGGAGCGAGGGCGAGGGGAGGCGTGGAGGCGCCCAGCTGAGGGGAGGGGACTGGCCAGCGGCGGGGGTCGTTTGGGGCTGGAGAGGAGAGGGGTGGTGAGGGCAGGGGGCTCTGGGCAGGGCAGGGTTGCTGGTCAGGGACCGGAGATTTGAGTATGGAGGTCTGGGAGCTGCAGAGCCTGCCCAGCTGGACACAGGCAAGGAGGGTAACCTGAGTCGGGGCGAAGGTTGGGCTTGGAGCTGGGAAGTCTGGAGGAATGGGGAGGTGGGACCCGGCCTAGAGTGGGAAGGGTGGGGAGCTGCTGGAGGGAGAGGGGAGCGGCCCTGGGTTTGGGGTGTGGGCACCTGAGTTCTGGGCAGAGGGGAGGGCTGGAGAAGCACTGCCCTAGGGCCGGGGTCCGGTGCCTGAGCGGAGGGGCAGGCAGGGAACTTGGGGAGTGGAGGGTGGTGGGCGCACTGGGTCAGGCTGGGGAGGAGGAGGTAGGAGAGGGCAAAGATGATGGGGGACCAGAGTGGAGTCCATGGGAACCCAGGCTCTCAGAAGACTGCGAAGGGGACCCAGACACTGGACCCCATGACACTGCCACCTGTGATCGGAGACAAGATGAAGAGAACCACCACTGACAGAAGAGTCCATCCACAGGCTGACTATTTGGGAGTCCAAGTGTGAGAAGAGACTTTTAAGGAGAGCATGGCAGCAGCCTCTGGAAGCTACTAGAAATGTGGAGGGAGATAGGAGGAAGACAGGGCCCTCCACCCCAATTTCTCAGAATCCAGATGGAGAAGGGTGGGGGAGAGTAAATTACATTAGGGGTGTGTATGTGTGTGTGTGTGTGTGTGTGTGTGTGTGTGTGTGGTGTGCAGGTGGATGCCCACTGTTCTGTGCCTAAAAAGGATAGAAAACAATGGAAGCCCCCGAAAAGCCCTGTCTGCGGTAACAGAAGCCCTGGTGCCGTGTCAGCCAGAGGAGAGACATTTTGTTAGAAGAAGATGGGCCAGGGATGACTTTCTCGTCATGAAGGATTTAGCGAGTAGTGGAATAAAGTATGTTCCTGTTGGAGGAAACAGTACGAGAGAAGGCAAAATTCAAAAATGATCCCTAGCCCAAGAAACAAATCCCTGTTTTCTTAAGGATTATGATAGGAAGGGAGGCATCAGGAACCTGTATATGGGATGTTTAAAAAGGTTTCCCATCTGAGCTTGAACTGCTTACGGTTCCTCTTCATCTCCCCAGAGTGTAGCACAGGGCCTGGCCCACTGCACTTGAATGTTGACGGAATGAATCATTGAGCTGTGGTTGTACTAGTGCCTCGATTTCTTTATCTACCCCCAAGAATTGTTGTGGAGATCATATATGAAAATGTGTGTGTGTGTGTGTGTGTGTGTGGGGAAAGAACTTTCATAAACTATAAAGCACTATACAAAAGAGAAAGGCCACTGATGTTCTAAGTGTGCCTACATTCTGTGGTGACCACACCCATGGCTCTCTGTCTCCAGCCTGGAGAAAGAAGGAAGTGAACATTTTCCAAGCTTCTTTTAATGCAAGATAGAATGTATTGGAAATACCTGGAATTTAGTAGATGCTGGAAAAATGGTAGCTGTTTCTATAGGGAAACAACGAGGAGGTAGGCTGGCTGGTGGTGACGAGTTGTCAGTGGGAAATGACCTAAAGGGTGGGGAGCTGCTGGAGGGAGAGGGGAGCGGCTCTCCCTAAGGTTCTCCTCACTTAAGAAGTGAGCAGATGGAGAGGTTGAATTAGAAAAATGAGTAGATTATGGCTTTAGAGAGGAGGTTGCATATACTAGGGTGAGGTCCACATATGGCCAATTTCCTCTTTATGCCTCATTGATGAAAGTTCCCAATAGGAACACCTCTTCTATATCATATCCTATCTAGATGCTTTTCCAACACAGACTACAGTCTTCCCAATAATGCTTTTACAAATACAAACGAGGAAACTGTGTCTCAGTCATGTGAAATTTCTTGCCAAGATCTCACAGATAATAAATGATAGACACGGAAACCGAATCTAGTTTGTTTGGCTTGGCACCTAGGCTATTTCCACTACCCAGGGCGACCTGATTAAAAATAAACAAAATTAAAAAAATAAGAGTTTTTATAAAGCACTATCCCGTAGACTGGTTTTAATGCTTACAGCAGTTTGCCAGGGAAGTCGTTTTATTAACTCATTTTATAGATGAGGAAACAGAGGCCCACGGTGTGATCTGCCTGAGGTTACACAACTGCTGAGAGCAAAGGCTCACCCCAGGTCTCCTGACTCAGTCGTATGCCTTTTCCCTCAGGAGCGTCCATCCAATCACTGCATGCATTGAATCCATCTCCTCTTGCTGGATTTTAGGGCTCTCTTTTCCTCTCCTCTCCCCTCCCCTCCCCCTTTCTTAGCCGAAGCTGGCTTCTGAGGTATTTATTTCTGCAGCCTTTCAGACTGGACACTTTTCTTTCTTTCTTTCTTTCTTTCTTTCTTTCTTTCTTTCTTTCTTTCTTTCTTTCTTTCTTTCTTTCTTTCTTCCTTCCTTCCTTCCTTCCTTCCTTCCTTCCTTCCTTCCTTCCTTCCTTCCTTCCTTCCTTTCTTTCTTTCTTTCTTTCTTTCTTTCTTTCTTTCTTTCTTTTTGTAAGAAAGCTCTTACTATTACAGATATCAACATTGTTTGCACTGAAAATAAAGTTCCCATCCACGAGGAGGTGGGAAAGAGAACCCAAATCTTTCAAGTTAACAGAAATTAAAAAAAAGGGAACACCACCGGGAGGAAGGAGAAGGGGTGGAGGGAGGGAAAGCAAAGGAAAAGCAGGAAGAGGAAAGAGGGAGAAGGGGGAAGGGTGACATACCACCACATAACGGTTCAGAGTTTAATAAAATAAGAAAAGAAGAACGGAGGTCCGGAGGGGTGGGGGCTGTGGATGCCCTTGGTGGATTGCCTGCACGGGGCCGGCGGGCGGCAGCAGGCCCTAGGTGGCGTACCGCTTGGTCCACCGCCGGGCCACCCGGTCGTGCTCCGCTCTGTTGGTCATGTACTGCGTGGCGATGCTGCCCACCAGGGGGTCAGCAGGGTTGCAGTCTGTAAGAAGTGAGCAGATGGAGAGGAGAACCTTAGGAATGGTGAGGGCCGGACTCCAGTTGTCCTTTAGGATGTCCAGACAGATCACGCCTTGGCTGTTGATGTTACAGTGGTAGATTCTTGTCCGGAAGGTCACCTTAGGGGGTTTGAACGGATAGTCCGGTGAAAAGGTGATGTCAAGAAAGAACACCCCTCCTTCGTAGGCAGATCCTGGGGGCCCCAATATCGTTGACCTCCACTCATAAATGTTGTCTCCTTTGGGCCCGGCGCTACAGTTGGGAGGAGGATCCAACGTCATCTCTGCAAGTTCCTTCTGAATTCTTTTAGCACTCGTGGACAGCTTAGCAGCTGTTTTGCTGGATACTTTCCCCTCCTTCTTCTTGGGCTGGACTTGTTCCCTTTCTGGTTCCTGCCGGACACTTCCACGTTGGTTTCCACCGGAACTCCCTACACTAGTGCTGGGACGGTCACCAGCTCTTTGGGCCTCAGTGGACATGTTCGATCCCTCCGCGCCGCCGCCGCCCCCGGCCGGCCCAGCTCGGGGTCCCAGCTCGGTGGTCGCCCCCGGAGCCCGGGGGAGTGAAGCCACCGCTGCCGCCTCCGCCCGAGAGAGCCGCCGCCCGGCCATCCGCGCGCCCGCCCGCGCGCCCCGCATTATTTGTTTCTCACACCAATTCCTAGAGGAGCCATTTTCTTCATTCCCTAGCCAGGGACCAAGGGATGACTTCCCAGGTGGTCCCTGGGCCTTCATCTGTGTTTCTTGTCACGGAGACAGCGAGCTGCCAGGCCCTGTCACCAAGGAGAGGGAAGATGTGTTTGATCCTTATCCCACGAGTGTGGTTCTGCACGCGCCCCTGTGCAGTGACCTGTCTGCTTCCATCTGCCTCGGGCAGCGGCTCGCTGGGATGCTTTTTATCTCTCTTCCATGTATCTGGGTAGCCCCATCTGGAAAAGATTCCCCCTCGGGGGCTTACATCTGAACGTTCCTTCCAACTGACCCTCCCTGCCCTCTGCCTCTTCCTGATCTCACACTACCTACTGGGAAAGCTACGCTGTGTGAGCAGAAACAGTGTGGCAAGTGCTAGGATGGAGATGATCAGGGCGCTGGGAATGCTTCTTTTCTTTTCTTCTTTTTTTTAAAAATATGTTTTTATTGATTTCAGAGAGGAAAGGAAAGGGAGAGAGAGATAGAAACATCTGTGATGAGAGAGAATCATTGATCGGCTGTCTCCTGCACACCCCATAGAGGACGGAGCCCACAACCTGGGCATGTGCCCTGACCGAGAACTGAACTATGACCTCCTAGTTCCTAGGTTGATGCTCAAGCTCTAAGCAACACCATCCTGGCGGGGATGCTTCTTTATTCACTCTAAAATTGTTGCAGCTTCTTTCTCTTTTTTTCTCCCTCTAAGTCCAGTCCAATCTGGGAGTCATTAGATAACAGAAGTTCTGGTTACAACTTGCTATGTGACATTGGACAAATCACTTCTCTTTGTGGAGCCTCAATTTTTGACCTGTAAAATGAAGGGGAGTGGATCAGGCAGGAATGGAAACTGTTTTTACTCTTGCCTAGCTCCTCACTCTCACACCTGTGGCAGGTGTAGCTCATAAAGGCTGATTCTGTATGAGGCCACATGCAGTTTTGTCTACACAGGGAAGCACTCTTATATACATTCTCTTGTTTAAAATTCACAGCAGCCTTGCAAGGTAGGTAATAACATGTCATAGATGCGTTCACTAAAGCTCAGTGTTTAAGTGACTTACCCAAGTTCATACATTTACATTGAGCTACTGGGAAAGCTGGGCCAGGAGCTAAGCTTTTTGTTATGATATAGCCGCCACTCCGAAATCCCTTCTAATTTCCAGGTATCTAAGAGTGTAAATAGCTGCCTCAGAAAAATGAAGACCAATAATATAACACTTACATTGACAGTCTGGCACATGACGAATGCTCTCTAAACGTTTTTTTGAAGGAATAATATGCCCAGAGGATTTACTATAGATCCAATATTAGCAGGTGTAAGGATGGGTACAACTCAGCTTATTCCAGGAAGAGAAGGCAGATAGTTAATTATAAAACAAGCTCAAATAATGTAGCCAAGATCAGAGAGAGGGCAGTTGAACACGCTTTGACTACAGAAGTAAATTAAAGTGCCAGTGAAATAATATTTATCGAGTACCTTACATGGGCCAGGAAATTATGCCAGATTATTTACATATTTGCACCACAGGACTGTGAAATAGGTGGTATTTTCTCTATTTTAAGGTAAAAATACTGTGGCTTAGAGAGGCTGCAGGATTTGCTGAGGAGTAGGCCTGGGATTTTGAACTTTCCCATAACACTGCTGCATGGAACTAGGTCTAGGTTCAGCTGGTAGCTATGAGGTTTGGGCAAATCCTCCTAATTTCTGGCTCTCAGTTTCCTTCTTGGTCAAATGGAAATAATGATTTTATCATTTCAATTTTATCTCCTAAGTTTATTTAGAGGCTAAAATAAAGGACATGAAATTGAGGTATAGATCATATCTGTGGTTTAGCAAAATTATCTTTGACTAGCAGTTCCACTTCTAAGATTGTTTCTGAGGAAATAAGCAGGAAATTGAACAAGTATTTATGTAAAGAAATAGTCATTGTGGTTTAATCTCTATATATAAAAGCCTAAGTGACCAAATGCTGGTCACTATGACACACACTGACCACCAGGGGGCAGACACCCCCTGGTAGTCAGTGCACTCTTACAGTCAACCTCCCATTCCCCATTGGTCCGATCACTGGCCAGGCTGAGGGACCTCACCCGTTAATAAATTCATGCACCGGGCCTCTAGTTTGTAATAATTAAGAATATAAAAATAACAAATATACAACATTAAAGAACTGGTCATATGACACATTCTTAGATGTAGTATAATGTAGTAGCCAATTGAAATAATATTTATGAAGAGTTTTAAAAGTCTAGTAAATGATGACAATGTTAAGGGAAAAGGAGCAGGGTACAAAACTAATGAAAATATTATCTTAGCTGTTAAATTGTATATTGAAAATATAAAGTGGAATTTATAGTATGTTATCATTATATACAGATCAAAATATAAACAGACCTCTATGCCTATATTTACAAAGAGTATCTCTGAAGGATTAATAAATTGGTAATATCTTTGCTGTTGGGAAGAAGAAACAGAGATTGGGAATCACGGGTGGGAGGTTGTTTTTTTAAATTTAAATTTTATTTTATTCTTTTTTTCTTTATTGATGAAGGCTGATTCTACACGAGGCCACATGTAGTGGCCTTATCCCTCCCAAAGTGGGAGTTTTTTTGTTGTTGTTTGTTTTTTTCATTGTAAACCTGTAAGTTCCATATTATTTATGGAACTAAATTTACTTAATTTACACTAAAAATTAAGAAAATAATGCGAAACTGCAGATGGTAATAAAGTAGTACTTAGAAATAGTAAGTTTGTTTGAACTATTTTCAATGTACGTATTATTTTTTAAATTAACAAATAAGAAATAACTTAAAATAGATGGCATTTTATTGCATGAGAAATAAGGGAGGAAATATACTTAACATGTTAACAATGACAGTTTCTGAATGGAGGGGATGTCTGGTTATTTAAAATTTTCTCTTTGGCCGAAACCGGTTTGGCTCAGTGGATAGAGCGTCGACCTGCCGACTGAAAGGTCCCAGATTCGATTCTGGTCAAGGGCATGTGCCTTGATTGTAGGCACATGTGCCTTGATTGTAGATACATCCCCTGTGCGGGAGAGGGGAGGGTGATGGTGCCAGCTGGTCGATGTTTCTAGCTCTCTATCCCTCTCCCTTCTACTCTGTAAAAAATCAATAAAATATATTTTAAAAAATTTCTCTTTATACTTGTAATCTCTTTTCTAAATTTCTGCACTTTCCAAATTGGAATTTTCTCTTGTAAACAAAGATGGCTGGCAGCCGAGCAGAGGGTAGTGTGAGGGCATTGTGGTTGCTTCCGTTGTTTTAGATAGAAAAAAAGCATAATTCCTTTGCCAATTCTTAAAAAAGGTTCTGCATCTTGTAAATGATGTAGTATAATGTAGTAGCCCATTGAAATAATATTTATGAAGACTTTTAAAAGTCTAGTAAAATATGACAATGCTAAGCGAAAACGACATTGAACAACTGAAAAGCTAGGGCTATGAGACAGCTTTAGCATCCTTCCCTCCAATCTCACTTTCTTCTTCCATGTCAATGCTCTGCCTCCAGTTGCCAGGGGTCCAGGGAATGTTCTATGCCTGCTTAGTGAGCCTTGCCACGGAGCAGATTGATACAGGAAATGTGGCTGAGGGTCTCAGATAAAGGCTTGAGAGCTGGGAGAAAAGAGAGGAAAGAACAGAGGCCACCACAGGCTAGTGGTGGCATATTTAATGAAGTATTGCTAAAGGGCTGCTAATAAATTATCCCACGTATTTGTCTGACCTTTCTTCAGGAGAGCTTTCACCTTACAACTCACTGGAGAGGCTCATAGAAATAAATCCACCTGTCTCACTCCCTTTCTTTTCCTTTTGGGGAAGAAGAAATAGGAATTCCTAAAGAGAGTGACACCTGAACATGACCTCACATTAGGGCTGTCTTCCCACCATCCCCTGACTACTCACTCAACATGAGTACCCAGCACTGAACAAAAAAAAAGAGATTACATAGGGAGAAGCTGGGTACCTACAGCTGGTAAGATGTAGAAAAAGCAATTAAACACTCAAAGACAGTGGGACCAAGAGCTGGATTATAAAGTTCAGATTCAAGTGTTCAAGAAAAGGGGAGGATGGGTGGAAGGTCTGAGAGGGCCGGGTTCTCAGGGAAGCCCTGGAATGTAATAAATACTTGCGGAACGAGTGAACGAATGAGTCATAAAACAAAGGATCTATGTTTTGAAGGATTTGGAATAAGAATGAGCTATGTTCACACCTGTGTGGAGTTTACCAGTTTATTAAGGTCTTACTCATGGTTGTCTTCTTTGAGTCCTATAACAGCTCTGTGAGGGAAGCAGGGCAGAAACTGTCCTCCCATTTTTCAGATGATGGGGTTAGGCCCCAGAGTGAGGACATGACTCTTATTAATTCAGGGCACATCATGCTCTGGGCACACATTATTGCTTAGTGCTGATCATGTACTAGGACTTGTGCTAGAAGCTAGAGAGGCAGACATGAAGTACTTTAAGTCTCAGAAGTTTGGTCTAAAGGAGGAGCTAGAACAATACAGAAACCCGTTCTGAAATGGTAGGAAGTGCTGTCAGAGTGCTCTGGAAGGGAGGGCAGGAGTGCACGTCCCTTGCATGCACGGGTAGGGGAGACTTCCTTGGATCTACAAGGGTGAGCAGGAGTGTATTAGGAGAAGCCTTGTCTAGGCAGAAAGAAAGAATACATGTCTAATGGGGCAAAAGCAAGACACATGGCGTGCTTGGAGTAAAGTGTGTAATCTGGTGTAAAGTTGCACAGGTTGGAAGGGAGAAGACTTAGGGGAAGATAAAGTTGAGAGAGTTTTTTAAAAAAAATATATATTTTATTGATTTTCTACAGAGAGGAAGGGAGAGAGATAGAAAGCTAGAAACATCAATGAGAGAGAGTCATCGATCAGCTGCCTCTTGCACACCCCCTACTGGGGATATGCCCACAACCAAGGTACATGCCCTTGAACAGAATCGAACCCGGGTCCCTTCAGTCCCCAAGCCGACGCTCTATCCATTGAGCCAAACCGGTCTCGGCATGAGAGAGTTTATTCGCTGGTTCTTTGTCAAGTTGAACAGGTTTGTCTTGATCTTCAGAGCTGTGAGGAGCCATAAACGGGTTTGTTTTTAAAATAATATATATATATTTTATTGCTTTTTTAAAGAGAGGAAGAGAGAGGTATGGAGAGTTAGAAACATCAATCAGCTGCCTCTTGCACACCTCCCGCCGGGGATGTGCCCACAACCAGGGTACATGCCCTGGACCGGAATCGAACCTGGGACCTTTCAGTCTGCAGGCTGACGCTCTATCCTCTGAGCCAAACCGGTTTCAGCCATAAACGTTTTTGAAATGGAAATGATAGCCTTATACAGGGTCTTACCTGGAATGTTCATGTATATTCTGTTTTGGCTCCCCTCCCCCCCAACTCTACCTCCCCTCCAAAAACAAAACAAAACAAAAAAACAACAGCAACAAAAAACTCAACTCAGGAGCTGCCTTCCACAGGAGACTCTCCTTGACCACCATTCCTCCAGATTCGATTAGATGCTTCATTTGGGCTTCCTTGGCCAAGACTTTCCTACCGCTTTGTTACCATGAGTTTATGTGCTTTTTTTTTTTTTTTTTTTTTTTTTTTAAATATATTTTATTGATTTTTTACAGAGGAAGGGAGAGGGATAGAGAGTTAGAAACATAGAAAGAGAATCATTGATCAGCTGCCTCCTGCACACGCCCTTCTGGGGATGTGCCCGCAACCAAGGCACATGCCCTTGACCAGAATCGAACCCGGGACATTTCAGTCCGCAGGCCGACGCTCTATCCACTGAGCCAAACCGGTTTCGGCTGTGCTTTTTTACTCTAATCTGTGGCCATTCGGAGGGGTAGACACCACGTCTGACTCATATTTGTATTCCCCATGCCCAGCACAGGGTTTGACCCGGAGCAGTGTGCTCAGTAAATATTTGCTGAAGGAATGGATGGGAGGCGCTGGGTTCCACCCAGTCCTGAGACAACACTGGGACAGGTGCAGGGATGGGGTGATCCCGAGGAGTATGTATTTCCTCGGTGATGCTGGGTGGGGAATGAGTGTGTGAATGGCGGAGTGACCATTAAAAGGTTGGTGACCCTAGAGATGCGTTCCTGAGTGACCACAGGTCTCTCCTGCAGATGGCTTCCGTGACCGACAGTAAAGCCGGGGTCAAAGATGCCTCCGACCAGAATTTTGACTACATGTTTAAACTGCTCATCATCGGCAACAGCAGCGTTGGCAAAACCTCCTTCCTCTTCCGCTATGCTGACGACACCTTCACCCCGGCCTTCGTCAGCACGGTGGGCATCGACTTCAAGGTGAAGACCGTCTACCGCAATGAGAAGCGAGTGAAGCTGCAGATCTGGGTGAGTCCTAGGCGTCTTGGGCAGGATTGTCCTGACAGGGGACTAGTCTGCTGATACCAGGGCTAGGGGATGGGGCCGGTTTGGGACATCTGGGTCTTACAGCATCAGACACTAATGCTGTTGCTGGTCTTGCCCCTGGAGTGCCCCCTGCTGGTTTTTATACAAATTTGCTCTCCTCTGGGGACTCCGTTGTTTCTGCTGCTTAACTACCCAAGAGGCTTTATTCTGGCCCGTATCAATAGTGGCAGAATCTGGGCTTTGGAGCTGGTCTCTACATCGTAGGGCTATGGTTGCTTATATAGATCCTGGAACATATTTTAACGCACAATAAATGACAGCTATTGTATCCATAATCTACCACCGCATAACAAATCACTTCAAGACTTGATGGCTTAAAACAGCAATAATAATAATTCATTTCTGCACAGTGTTTGTGACTTGAACGTTTAAGAGTTTCTGGCTTAGAGCCTCTTAGGAGCTTGCAGCCAGATGTCAGCTTAAATGGCAGTCCTCAGAAGGATTGAGGGGGCTGGAGGATTCCTGTCAAAGGTGGCTCTCTCACCTGCGTGGTACTGGCTTGTTAGCAGAAGGCCTTAGTTCATTCCCAGATGGCTCTCTCCACAGAGCTGCTTAAGTCTCTTCATGGCATGGCAGCTGGCTCTCCCCAGTTCTTGGAAAGATCCAAGAAATCAAAGAGGAAGTGGCAATGTCTCTTATTGCTCAGCCTTAAAGTATTCTATTGGTCACTGATTCAATGTAGAAGAAAACTATACAATGGTATGAATCCTGGGAGGTGAGGATCATGGGGGTCTGTCTTGTTAGCTGGCCATCACAGCTACTATTATTGATGCTTACCGGTGATACTAATGGTATCTATATCTATATCTATATCTATCTATAGTTGAGATGATATAGCCACAGGTAGATAATATACTTTTCAATACTGAATTAGCATTGAGATTAGAAATTTTGAACATCTGTGATTTTAAGTATTCAAAACATGTATTATTTATTATTCAACTTGTTAAATGTACATTAATACATAGTACATATATCTTATTGGTATAGTCTGTATACAGTACTTTTCTTCTTATAAATTACTTCAATATATTAATGTTACCTTATAATTAACCTCAAGAGGCAGGTATTGTTGTAATACGCTCCTATTTTATAGAAGGAAAAATATTCAGGAGAATATTAGCTTGCCTTAGGACAGTTGATCACACAGCTATACAGTGGGATTCCAGCTTAGATCTTCTGAATCTAAATTATGTGCTCTTTCTTCTACACTGTTGAGAAGCACATTAGACCTTATAAAACCTATATTTCCATGTATGATAAAGTTAAGTATTAATTTATATTGAGATAAAAGTTTATTTTATTCACTTTGTCTCTATTAAAAGCATTGAAGAAAGATAAATCATTGGAAATGTCAGAAGCTCTACAGACCATTTAGTTAATTGGTTTTAGAAGTGAAACCAGTTTGGCTCAGTGGATAGAGCGTCAGCCTGCGGACTGAAGGGTCCCTGGTTCGATTCCGGTCAAGGGCATGTATTGTACATTGGTTGCGGGCACATCTCCAGTGGGGGGCGTGCAGGAGGCAGCTGGTCGATGTTTCTTTCTCATCGATGTTTCTGGCTCTCTATCTCTCTCCCTTCCTCTCTAAAAGAAAAATCAATAAAATATATTTTTAAAAAAAGAACAACAACAACAACAAAAAAAGAACTGGGGTCTCCAGATCAACAGTGTCAGCACCATCTGGGAATTTGTTAGAGATGCAGATTCTCGAGCCCCTCTTCTGATCCACTGTATCTGAAACTCTGCGGTATGGCCCAATAATCTATATAGTAAAAGCCTAAGCGACCATTATGACAAATGACCAGAATGACCAGTCGCTATGATGCTCACTGAACACAAGGGGGCAGATGCTCAATGCAGGAGCTGCCCCCTGGTCATCAGTGTGCTCTCACAGGGGACGCACCATTCAGCCAGAAGCGGGGCTCATGGCTAGCAAGTGTAGTGGTGGTGGCAGCAGCCTCTCCCACATCCACAGAAGTGCTAAGGGGCTAAGCAGTAAGGAGCAGTGAGCTGGGCGGTAAGGAGAGAGGGGTCCCGGACTTTGAGAGGGATGTCCGACTGCTGGCTTAGGCAGACATCCCCTGAGGGGTCCCGAACTGAGAGATGGCACAGGCTGGGCTGAGGGACCCCTACTTTCCAGTGCACAAATTTCATGCACCAGGACTCTAGTCTGTGTTATAACAAGCCTTCCAGGTGGTTTTTAAGGCAGGCTAAAATTGAAGAACCTCTGATCTAGTTTACCTCATGGGGAGAATCAATAAGCATTTATTAAGTACCTATTACATGCCAAGTGCTTCCGCTATGTTATCTGACATTTCCTTTGCAGCCAACACACGGCAGGGTGGGGTGTGTGAGGACACAGGATGTTTGGGGCATGGTGCGCAAGGCAGTTTAACTAGAGCAAGGTTTTGAAAGAGCAGGGATGGGGTGCCGAGTTAAATTTTCTGGGGAGGCTATCAGACGGCACAACAAACAGAAGGTTCTTGCCATGGGTCAGAGGGTAAATGCTTGATGAATTCTTAGGGAGCTGAAGAACCCACTAGAGTTTACTTTGTCTATGAAGAGCAAGTAAAAGATACTAACATTTATTCTATAGATTGACAAAGATGTCTTCATCTGATCTCCACTTTACATGGTCACATAGCCTACACACAAAAACACTCAGGTAGGAATAGACATTCTGCCCTTCTAAGGGGTTGGCAGTGGGGGCTCCCTCACGCTTCATTCATTTTTAGTCCATCGTGAGCTTTTGCCGTTTTCCTGTGCCCGGTTAAGTGGGTTTATTGATTATACTACCTAATTTTAACTAAATGGACCCACAATGGATATGTGGCTTTAAAACAGTCCTGCAAAGAAGCCTCTGGTTGAAGACTGCACTAATTTATAGTGAACCCACAGGAGCACAGAAAATGGCTGAAGTGATATTTCTCTGACTCAAGTTCATTGTCAGCCATGTTTTGAGGTAAAATCAGTGATGATCTAATTAGATGTGACTTAGTCAATCACATTGCTTTTGCTAAAACACACACACACACACACACACACACACACAAATGAGGAAAGTGTTTTCTTGATGTGTGTATGCATATGTGCTTTTCTGTAAAAACGTTTTTTGAACTGTTCATAAATACACTAAAATTTAAACATTTAAATAGTATTTATGACATTGAATGTATTTTAACATCTTTTGTGTACAGTAGAAGTATATATGTGTAATTTAAGTAAATGTACAAATATTGTGGGTGCTGTGCCTACATTTTTCTTACTTAATAGGGGTATAAATTTGGAGACAACTACCATAGGCATTGGGAAGCCATAGGTGGGTTTTAACAAAGTTAGATTTGCGTTTTAGAAAAATCTCTGGTTTCAGTTTGGAGGGTAGATGGAAGGGAAGCAAAGAAACTAGTGGTTTGGATAAGTTGTAAGGGCTTGAGCTAAGTCTGTTAGCTTCCTTGGGCTGCCATAACAAGAACAGACAGAGTAGATGGCTTAGACAACAGAAATTTATTTTCTCACAGTTCTGGAGACTGGAAGTCCAACATCACGGTGCCAGCAGGGTTGATGTCTGGCAAGAGGACAGCTGCCTTCTTGCTGTGTGCTCACGTGGTCTTTCCTTGGTGTGAACACATGGAGAGAGAGCGTGAGGGAGCTCTTCCTTTAAGGACACTAATCCTATCAGGTCAGGGCCCTAACTTTATGACCTCAGTTAACCTTAATTACTTCCTTAGAGTACCTATCTCCAGCTATAGCCACACTGGTGGTCGGGGGCTTTAATATGTGAATTTTGGCAGGATACAAACATTTGGTACATAACACTAAGATAAAAGTGACATAAGAGTTGGAAGTGAGGATAGAGATTTACGGTAGTAATAGAATTTATGGAATTTGGTGATTAATTAATTGCATAGGGAGAGGAAGAAATACATATCTACTTATATATATTTACTTTTGTAAACAAAATTTTTATAATTTTTTTTAAAGTAGTGTGAGCTTTGGCAAGTTGCTTCACTCTGTGAATAAGCATCATCTTCAGCGGTAAAAGCCTGACAGGCTTGTTGGGGGAATCTAACTGTGGTAGCAGTATTAGGAACACAATAAAATTTAGGTTCCTTTCTTTCTCTGCTCTTGATCCACATGCAAAGGGTGGCTGGGCTCCTCCCAAGGTTTCCCAATGTGGCTCTAGGAGTGCTGGAACAGCATTCAGGGACTCACTAGCACAGCATGAAGCATTCATTTAAATTTCTCCAGCCCATTTGGTCTCTCCCAAGGGATTTCAGAAAACCATTGTCAGGGTGGAAGGTGGAGAGGGACAAAGAGGAGGCATGAGCGTCTTTGAGCAGGACCATTCACAAAAGGTGTTCCTATCCTATCTGGGGGACATTGGGCGATGAAGCCATTGGATAGTGCCTTGTTCTTTGGGATGTCTCCCCATCTAGGTTCCTGAGAGCCCCCTCTGTATCCTGGGAGTTTAATTATGGTGGATCAGAGGAGATAATTATACTGGGGAGGTGGAGGTAGGGGAGAAGTCTTATTTATAGCAAATGAGAGCAGGAACAGGTGTGAAGGGAGGGAGACTTGGAAGCTCCACAGCAACAAACCTGACTAGAGGCCACTTACTGCTGGGTGCTGGTTGCCAAGCAACCCCTGGAGACCTGTGGGAAGAGAAGAGCGGCAGAGGGCCTTCCACTGCCTCTGTGTGAGGCCCATTGCAGGGGCTATTGTGTCTGGTGCTGGTCAAGGGAAGAATTCAGGACTGAGCTGACCTAGGACTTGGAGTCCTGGCTCTGCCCTACAGTTTACTGTGTGATATGTATGAGTGACCCATCAATTCCACAGGTTTGTTCCCCCAACTATCAAACGGAAAAAGTAATTGTTTCTTCTCTTCCCTCGTGGTTGTTGGGAAGATCAAGTGAAGAAACAGA